CTCTGAGAATTTTTATCCTAAAAAAAGAATAGTATGAAGACGTTCAGTTATCCAGCCTTCTACTGGCAATGTTATTGCAAGCAGAAAGGCAACTTTATTTAGCAAGTGAAGACAGGCACATGCTGTCAGTGGCTTAATAGCTTTCCCATTAAAAAAAAAAAAAAAAAAAGATAGAAGACTTACTGTGGAACTGAATCCCCGACAAGAAGAAAAAGTTCAATTAAACCTTTCAAAATGTGGAAGAAAGAAAAAGCCTTTACTCCGAGGATGCAGAGCAGCAGCTAAAGGAACCTGCATGGAGCCGATGGACATCAGAGCCCCTTGGCACCATCAAGTAGTCCAGGCTTGCTAACAACACATTCACCTTCTGCAGCACCATCTGCCATGGGCTTCGGTCACTTTGCCAAGCAACTCTTCCCAGTACACAAGCTTTCTGCTGCTAATGAGGACACATCTAGCAGAAGAACAGGAACCTCAGTTCCTGCTCTGACAGCATCCCAATTACACTGAAAAAAGATTTAATCACAGATTTTTGGACAGAGAAGCATGTAAGAGCTTGACAACAAATCTGCTTGGCCAGGCAGAAGGAAGCTGTTCAGAGCTCTGAAAGGCAAAACACTGACAGATGTCCATGTGCCAACTTTAGAAATTTGGGAGGAAGAGAGGGAGAAAATCAACTTAAGTGACTTGCACCATTCCAGCTACTGGTACAGATGACTGTGACAGTATTATCCATAATTAATTGGACGAATTTTCTTGCAATATACGGTAAAAGGGAAGATGAGTGTAACTGACCATTCTGAGCCTCGCTACATTAACGTCCACTTTTCACTCAGCCCATATTCTGAGATTTCAAACTGGAGCGAAGGGACTTATCTTTGCACATGGCACCGCATACAGAAGTAGATGGCATCCCTTTGCAAATGCTCTCTGGCATGTGCGACTAACAGGAGGTGACAAAATACTGTCATGAGTATTGAGTGACTGCTGGAAAGATAACGTCATTCAAGCCATGTTTGCAAACCTGGTGTGCAAAGCATGGTATGTAGCGCCATGTAGTACAGCTGCCATATGACACGGCAGCTCTAGGCAGGACCTGTCCGGGATGCAGTAAGACGTGCCAGGATGTTACTAGTTCTCATGGGAGACAAAACCTGACAGTTCATTCTCTAGAAAGTCCTAGATCAAGTGGGTTAGCGTCTTTCTTAGGGAGGAGAAAATGCTCTATGACTTCCAGATCCTCAGCTAGCTGGAGCCTTAATTGGTAAAAAGTCTACATCAGTCCTTTCCTTCAGAGAGGACCTTCAAACAAAAAGCCATGGTTGGGAAATACAGAAATCTGTAGCAAGGAGCATCTTCCAGGAACAATTCCAGCAGAATTAGTACAGCAGCAGCAACACAGGCATCCAGGAAGGTTAGAAGAATAGAGCTGGCACCTACACCTATGAAAGGCTGAATCTTTCCAAACGCCTGGTGCAGAGGACCAAAGAGATAGAAGATGGAGAAACTTAACAGATCTGAAAAGAAGGATGTGTAACTGGAACCCTGAACTGTATCACAGCTGAAAACAATTTTCTTTTTTGCAAAAGAAGTCAACATATATATGGATCTCAGTTGCAAATGAAAGCTTTTGCTTAACTAATTGCAAATGAAAACACCTGCCAAAGAAGTTAGGCTAGGCAAAGAAACAAATTCCTCCTACATCAAAAGCTCTGACCCTTATGAAATAACACAAAACAAAGAGGAAAACCAAAACGCAAAAGAAACCGCCACATAGCATTCATCAGCAAGTACAGGCAGACGAGCAGTGCTAATGCCAATGAGATGGCACTTCAGTTCAGAATATTCCTCTGCAGGAAACTTTCAAAAGTCAAGGCAGTATTTTTAAAACATCCAGAATTGCCTCATTGTCATCTTACATCCGTAAATGAGATTGTATTTTGGTGAGGACAGAATGATTCTGGGAACAGCAACAGGGATGACATATTCACAAAAACATCCAGCTCCTAATTCCAAGAGTGGACTTGAAATTTAACTGTATTTATGGTAGTCAAATGTTAATTCAGGGTTAGAGTAAGTGACTGCCCCTTATGCACAGCTGACTCATGAGTACCCCCCAAGGCACTGTGACAAAGCAATGCTTGGGGCACATCACTCCTTCCTTGCAGCAGAACATGCAGTATTCTGCAGCCAAACTCACAGCAACAAACTACTCTGCTTTGGTAAGTCCTCAGAATGTCATCATAGGCAAGGTGACACTGGAATGAAAGGGCGACAGTAAGATACAGTCTTCTTTGACCCATAGACTTAGATGACATTGCATAAGTACCCAGTATTTTTTCATGTGTCCTTGGGAATATTCCTGCAATGAGGCTGCTCCAAAAAGGAACAGAAATGGTTTTAACTGCTACAGTAAAGACAGCACCAGTGTCCACCAAAAGATAAGATGCTACTACCAAAGGAGCTACAATTAATAAAACAAATCTGAAAAGGAGACACTATATTGCTGCAAGAGATCAGCCTAAGCAGGGAAAGTTGACCAAAGTTAAGCAGTTGACCACAGCATCTTAGGATCAAGGCCAGTGGAAAAAATACGCAGACCTTCAAAGATATCAGATGGCCTTAATAATAATAATATCATGCAATTGTAAAAGCATCAAACAGGGGAGTCCCTTGGATCAGTCACTTAGTTTTATAATTACATTAAGCCCCTTCTGCTGGAGTTCTTGAGCATGCCATCACAGATGATAAAATATTATCCCCATTGCACTGCTTGCAGTATGATTGTACAAGCTCAGTCAATTTCTTAAGTAATTCTAAAGACCATTTCTCTATTATACTAAAGAGTTGCTTAGCAAATGCCTAACAGGAAAACCAAAAGCAACATATGCAACAACAGTTCTTTCATCAGTTTCTCATCACTATTGCTTGACCACCCATTATCGAGTAATTAATACAGAAAACACATCCCACAACTCCCAATAAACACTTTCTGAACACCCGCCTAGGAAGAAAACAAGGTTTGCCCCAGGGGAAATTCACTTGATTTGACTTGCAGGTGTAGAACAATCCAATAAAGTCCCTTTCATTAAACAATGTCAACTACATTTGAAAGGCTAGCATCAGTTTCAGGATGGATAATAAATGATAAGCTGGTAATCTAGTAACAAGTCCCAGTGCACCTGCCCATTTCTTTGTTGTCCAGCTTCAGATAGAGATTTGATAGGAAGGAGAAAAATCTGGGTTTTCCTCCCCTCAAGCAATATACAGAGGGCCAGTTTCTGCATGTCACTGAAGAGGGTCTCCAGATCACACCATAAGACCAAAATTGCATTGTATGTTAGGGAAGCCATTTGAAGGACATTATCCCAGACCCTGCCATTCAGTCAGCATCTACTTTGAAAGCAGTGCCTGTAACCCTCTTCCCCAAATTGTCTAATGCTAGTGGAAGTTGGGCAGGCTGTCACTCCTCAGCTAACAGCAGCATGAGGCTTGGAAGGGTGTGGAGGACGAGGAGGAAAACTAGTGCAAGGTGAGCAAATACAGAAGCCAACAGGCTTTCAGCACGCCATTTGATGCTGACAAAGAAGGAGCCTTTATTGCATTAGTTAGGGAGGACATCACCTGAAGAGCGAATGTGTGTCTCTATGTGATGTTATGTATATGTATGCACATATTTTTAAGGGGTTAAAGTAGCATGTTAATCCTTGTTACTCTCAAGTTACCTGTGACCATTCGTACATAATGAAAGTTCTCGTGTGATAAAACAGACTAGTACTCTTTAGGCTGGAAGAGAGACTATTCTGTAAAACAATGAATAATAACATCAACAGGCAGCAGCTAAGCATATAAGAAAATTCATTCAAACCAGAGGTTTAAAAAATAATCCAAAGTAATTTTTTAGAGAATAAAATTAACTTGTGAAGCTCACTGATACAGTATATTATAGAGCGCAATATATGAATCAAAAGGAACAAAAATAAGCGTGTGGAAAATAAGCCCAGCATATCTATTAAGACAGAAGCAGCCTTTGTCTCAGCAGGTAACTAAACAGCAAAATACCAGAACTCAGGACAAGCACCAGTGAAAGATCACCTGTATGTCCATCCATTCCGCACACTATTTCCCTATGCTTGGGCAACAACAAGACAATGAGCATTACAAGAAATAGGACCTTAGGCAAATACGAGAGTCTCAGGAAGCCTTCTGTCACTTGGCCTTGGGTCTCTAAAAATGCAGAAACAATGTATGTTAAAATTAATTCATTCAAGATTATTCTATTCACATTTTCTGAGCAAAACCAAACATTTGCATGATATGAAACACAACAGCACAAACTGGGTTAAAAAGTGAGGAACAATTACAAGTTAATCTATCCCAATTTCTCATTTGTTGTTGTCAGTTGAGGTATTTCAACTTGCTCCATTTGCAATGTCTTGTTAGAACACAGCATTCAGCTTCCACTGATGAAAAACTGACTTTAAAAACCAATCCGAGCCCAGTCAACACGAGACAAGGCCAAATAAAAATCAAGTAATGCTTCTGGTGCTGAAAGACAGTATTTTGTAGGAACAAAACATGCAGCATCACATCTCAACACCTTTATCATTAAGTTGTTTTTTTTTTAATCCACCACCTACAATCTTTCTTAACAGACTACTGTAACATATACGTCTCTGCAAATATTAAACCAGTACTGCCATCAGTATTTTTGTTGGTTTTAAGCAAAGAAAAAGTCACGTTTATTTTGTAGTAGCAATAGTTTCTTTTTTATTTTTAATATACTTTAGGAAACAATATACAAAGCCGAGCTTTGCCACCATTTTCAAACGGTGGGTTGCTCCAATTACACAAATTCAGCGTTTTGTGATGGTTAAGAACAGCAGTCAGCACCAGACTTAAACAGTTAGCTACAACACAAACATCCTTCGAAATGAAATGTCATAATATCAAGACAGGTAAACCAGGAGTTAACATATGACAACTGTTGGGGAGGTGTCTTAAATCTTTCTTGTTGAATTTTATATTTCATTAAATATTTTATACACATTTTCCTGTTTACAAGTTTTAAACAAAACCTCCCTTGAGGAATTATTTAAGTACAAAAATGTTCAACAAGAACAGTTCTAATAAAGAGTCCCCAAACAGACCAAATTTTAATGTTTTGACCAAAGGAAATGAAAACCAGTGTTTCTTTGTTTTAACATGTTTATTACAACAGATACAATTCACATCTGACTAGCTTTTTTTTTCCTCTTTCCCCTCCCACAACCATGTTAACATGTTCATTGGGCTATTTCCTTATATTTGAGCAAGTAATGTACTTTCAGCACACATGCCCAGCAGTACTATAAGTCCATTCTTACAGGGTGCAAATGGAGATACGTTTCAATAATTTATACAAACAAGTGGGTTATGCTCAATCACTGCAATTTTAAGCTACTGTACACAGGAATGAAAAGATTATAGAAAAAGTGCCATAGCAACAGTGCCTTAAGAAAAGAGAAAATTAGAAGCATTAAAAAACTGATAAAATCAGATTTAGGATTTCACGGGGAAATGGAACACAGAAAATGAAAAACATTTCTCTGTAAAACAGAAATGGAGAAGCACTGCTCTCTATTCGGTGCAAGTGTGGAAACAGTTGTTTCATAATATTTTGTACATTACCCAAATTGTTGCAGCCTTAGACACAGATCGCCTGGCGCTTGCATTGAATTTTAGGAAACGCAAGATTTCTGAATGATAAATTAACTAAAAAAAAAAAAAAAAAAAAAAGAAAGCTAATTTTGCAGACAGGTTTACATGTAAAAGGCTAGGTATTTAGCCACCTCAGCATTGATTAGTTTTGGATGTCTAAGCTCTGATACACATGGCTTCCCATGGCTTCACTCTACAAAACATATTTACAACGTGAAGAATACATCTACAAGAAATCTACATTTCAAGGGTTTTACAAATCATTCTTGTATCTTTCCCCTGAATTTGACTCCCTCCTGTCCCCTTCCCCATGTCAACTTTTTCCTGCCCAGCTCAACGGTCCAAAGTCTACTCAAATGCAGCTCAAAAGTGTTAAGACTGGGCATCAGTTTAATAGTTCCTGTACTCAAAACCATGTGCAATTGTTTACAACTTTTCACACCATGAACGAATTCTGATTCTTTAGCTTTTCAAGTTCTTTAATTTGTTGCCTCAAAAATAGTATCCTGCAAGAGAAAAGAAATCAATTAGTATAAACACTTCCATTATACAGAGATGGTAAAGACTTATCTACACAAGTACTTCTACAATTTCAGTGAAAGGTACCAAGCTCCTTAGCTCTATTAATAAAATTCAGATATTTTAAAATTAATTCTCAATTTGTTCAATCACCTACAAACATCGTATGCATATACACGATACATAGAGACCTGCCACGTTTGATACCTTGGTTCAGAAAATTAAGTTGCTGTATTTCATTATGACTGATACAGTTATGTTTAAGCCTGCTCTTCACCTGAATTTAACTCCCAGAAAAAGCAGGACACTAGAAGAGTACGTAGAGTAACTGAGTATTCTGAAGAATGGTATTATGCCTGTGTTACGCTGTTTTCCAGACTGTACAACAACGCAAAGCACTCAAATTTTTCTAAACAAGCAGGTTTTCTTCTAGATGCAACACTTTTTTTTTCTAGTATTTGGCTCTGTGGCTAGTCATAATCTCTAGTTATGGTAAGCTCCAACCTCAAAATACTTGATCACTAAAAGACATCTAAAGAAAAAAAGTTATAACTACACCCAGCTTAGAAATAAATTATATTGCTAGCAGTTCCCTTATACATTTTTCCTTGTTCTACTGAACTGACATAAACAATTACTGTGATTGATGAACATTTGGTTTACATAACTGTCTCCTAGAATTTTTAAGGAATATTTTGAAACAACTTTTCATGTGCTGAAGTGTAATGCAAGCATGTGAATGAATTAAGAAAATATTCAGGGACAGCTGAAGTTTCATATAAATAAAGTCCGAAATAACTTTAATCAATGCAGAACAAGCATCCACCTCAGCAGACTTTTGTAGAACACTTTTCAGATATGTGCCCAGTTCAGTAAAAATGAATTTTGTAATGAAAAGTAGATGAAAAACAATTAAGATAGAGACATTAAAAAAAAAATTAAACTTAAAAGGCGTGGGCATATAAAATGTATCAGTCAATGAAAAGTGCCTTTTCACATGCTGTGAGTTATGGTTAAAACAATAATACTCGTTTTGCCTAGAGATAAAGTTCCCTCTTAGAACAAATTTAAATAGTGCTCTTCTGTGTAAAAGTATAGAAATAATATCATCATTGAAATGTACTGGCTTTAATAATCTTTGTGAAAGCCTCCCCCCACCAACTTGTTACTTATGCCATGTATTCCACGTCTTTGGGATTGCAGCAAAAATAAAAGATACATGTTATCATAGATTCAAAGTCATAAAAATCATTATTCATTGATGGCTGAAGGATACACAGCGTACAAAAAACAAGGTGCTATTTAGTGAGTTGAACAGTGACATTTGACATGTTATTTCAGATTAAATGTGCACCCAGAGACAGAAATTAAACCTCAGGAAATGAAACCTGTAAGAAACGAAGCAGTTCATTAAATATACTACAGAAATTGTAATTTATGTAATGAAGTTATGAAATAAAATTTCAGAAAGAATGGATATTTTCGATTCTTTATTAGGAAAGATTTACAAATATATTATAGTCTACTTCTGACTACAGATTCACAAATATAGCCTACTTCTGACTAAAGGAGTATTTTACTAACTGCCAAAAAGCAAGAGTTTCTAGGATAAAGCTAGCTATGTGAACAGCATGCAATGCTACTAAAGCAGCTTAAAATAATAGATCAGAATCACTTTATTCAAACTGTAGTAGACTTAATACATGGGATAACATCATTCAAAAAGGAAACTGAATATGAAAGGGATTCAGTATCATGACTACTGGTGAAAAGTTTCAGCATGTACTGTAAGACTAAAGTTTTCAATCTTGCTCAACAGTCTTCAACGTGGTTGTGTATTGCTTCACTGATACAGAAGACACCCGCTATTACTGACTTAAGAAGCAGAAGTCTACTTTGCTATAATCAACATCTCACTAAAGAACCCCAAGATCTTCTCATATGCCTGCTACCTAAATAACATACATTATTTTTTCCTTAGGTTGTGATATCAACACTTATTCAAAGTTGCTCTGGCTTTAGACCTAACAAATGTCTCATGCAAACTGTAGTGTTTAAGACCAGTATAAACCATGCAAATGTGTACATATGTGATCTATGCATCATATATGGAGAGATATTTTAGAAATACACTGAACTAGTATGAGTTGATCAGTTTTTCCTAATCCACTTATGTACCTGGAAAGATATTTCTTTCCTATCTAAGTGAAAATACATACTGAAGTTGCATATCTGGTTCTGTTCACTGGAAACTAACAGGTATCTGTATGGGAGACAGGTAGAATGTACACAGGGAAGACAGCTTGCCAACCTGGCAAGTAACAGCATACTTACAAAGTCATCAGTAAATATAGCTCATGCAAAACAATGCCAGAATGGGAATTCTAGTTCCATCTTGAAAATTACCACTTTGAAAATAAACACAGAGCACACACTTACCTTTGCTCACGCAAAGTTGCTTGAATTTCACATACTCGAACTAAAGACCTTAAATTCTTTAATTCAGTACAAATTTCTGACATATGGACACTTCCCATGTTATGGGCTTCCTCACGTAATCTTGATGCCTGCAAAGGTTACACATAAAGGTTAGGATTTTGAATCATGCATTGGAAACAACTGGCTGTAGCCAGAGGATTGCTGGATGAGCGTGTCTTGAAACAGCAAAGCACTCTAACTTCAAAAGGGAGTATTAAATCAGAAGTACATTAAATTTCCTACAAAAGTCCTTTTAGAATCAGAAATTAACAACACTGGCTGCCAAGAGATTGTCTAACCCAGACCCACGCTAAGGCAAGGATGGTTTAGATCCTAAAAAATGTTTACCCATGACAGGGCTCCAAGCTTCCAAAGTAATTTGTTGAAGTAGTTAAAAGTCTCCATCCACTATTTCAACAGCAGACTTAAATTTGCCATCTAAACTAAGCTTTAGTGACAAAAATCATTGAATGTCATCTTCTTTCCAGCTACCTTATATAGGAAAAAAACCCAAACCACCTTTGCAACTCTCTTCAGGTGTTCTCTCCCAGACAAACTCCATTATTTTAATATCCCCACTTAGTCAGGTGGAGACAAGCATAAGTGTTAAATTTAAAAGGCATGACCTATCCTCATTTTATGCATTTCTTAAAGTCTCTTCACTGAACTGGATATGACTCCAGAGAACTCTTCAACAGCACCAAGGAGACTGGTATAATTGCTCTGAGGACCTGCGTATCACACTGCAATAAAGAAAGAGAACTTCTCGCAAGTGGCCCACTGAAAAAAAACCCAACTGTTTCAGATAGAACCTTCCCTGCAGCATTACTGTTTAGCAACGTTATTCTCTGCTGTACTGGGTCTGGCTGGGATAGAGTTAATTTTCTTCATAGCAGCCCACATGGTGCTGTGTTTCAGATTTGTGACCAAAATAGCGTTGATAATGCACCAATACTTTAGCTATTTCTGAGCAGCGCTCACACAGCATCAAGGGTTTCTCCCTTTCTCTCTCTGACCCCCTCAGAAAACAGGTTGTGGGTGGACAAAAGGCAGGGAGGGAACACAGCTGGGACAGCTGATCCAAACTGACCACAGGGATATTCCATGCCATACAATGTCATGCTCAGCAATAAAACTGGGGGACAGTTTTCCAGGCATTGCCATTGCTCGGGGATTGGCTGGGCATCAGTTGGCTGGTAGTAAGCGCCTGTTTTTGCATCACTTCCCCCTTCCCCCCCTTTATTCATTAAGCTGCCTTTATCTCCACCCATGAGTTTTCTCACTGTTGCCCTTCGAATTCTCTCTCCCATCCTACTGAGGGAGAGTGAGCAAGCAGCTGTGTGGTGCTTAGCTGCCTACCGGGGTTAATCCACAACATCTGCTTAAGTACTTTTATACTTGATTTTTACTTCCCCAAAATAATGGTATTTAGCACAGGTCCTCCATCAACTTCAGGCATTTCTCCAGTTCAAAGCAGCACTTTGTGTTCTAATTCCCTACATTAAAAATTTTCTTTTCTGGAGTGTGTTGATATGCAGGAGTACCCTGGTCTCCAGTAGGACATCATTTTACATGTCCTCCCTACACAACTCCAAAGCCTTGAGACTGATAGCAAACTATCAATAATGAATTTCAAAGTACTTCTTTTTAAGCTGACCAGTCATCCATCTTAAAGGAATCTCACTTAAAAGGCCTTAAAATAATTTTTGCATGCAAGATTCTTGATAAAAGCTGTTAACAGTCTTGCTGCAAATCAGGATGTTACATTTATTGCTCTCCTGTTTTATCAAAGTCCGATACTTTATCAAAAGAAAAAAAAATTGACATAATTTTTTTCTAAAAGGTTCATGCTGACTATTATCAGGGTTTTCTTTTCAGGTGTTTGTAAAGAGGTAAATTCATCATTTTTTTCTACTTAGATATGGTTCAATAGTCAAAGTACCTCCACAATTACTGAGCTGAGACCACTTACAATTCGGTTTCTCACATTCCTTCAAGATGGTTATGTTGATTATCTTCTAATTAACCACATTACTAGATTGTTTTCCAGTTTTCCGTATTAACTGCTTTTATGAGTTCTGTGAGGTAACTGCTAGTTGTTCAATAATTCTTTTAGCCACTGATTACTGCACAGCAGATTTCTTCAAGTCTGACTGCTTTAACACACACCTGTCCTGGTTCTCCTAATTTATTTACTTATGTATTTTTCAGTTTACTCTGGCATGTGCTCTTATGCCTTAATTTCAGTTTAAGCTACGCATGTTGTTAGAAATCTGAAGAAACCAAGGCACTGCATATTTTAGCCTCTCCACCTTCATCTAGCTTACCTTCTTCACTGTGTATTGCACCTATACTTTCATTCACTTTTTCTTTTATATCAAATATCTGACTTAAGTCCCTCAAGTGTTACTATTTAAAACTGGTCTATAAACACCAGGGTCACACGAAATCATCTGAAATAGCAGACAGGACAATACAGCATGTAACACTTGATACAAAGGTAAAAGTAACACCTGAGTACTTGACTGCCTAGCATTAGCTGGTGGTTATTTTATCTCTTTATTACTGATAGTGGAGGAAAGAAAGTTACCTATGAACTCTATAAATCTATATTTTCTGCATTAAGATATATGTCAATTCAGTACACAGTGAAAATAACACTATCAAAACTATAGGCCAAGGCTATATAGAGAGAACCGGCTGGGTCGCACCACTTCCTTAAACACACATTCCACAGCAATGGCTCAGTCGTTTGACTCGGTGCAAGTTGGTAATGTCTTGAAAGGACTTGAACTAGACTCAATAACCACTACTGTTCCTTTGAGTAATACATTCCAAGCAGCTAACATGCATCCAGTTTCCCTGTATGACCACAACAGGATAGGTTTCATGCAGTTAGTTATAAAATATGGATGGTAATTCTACTGGATTTCCCATTATGTAAAAATAGCCCAAATTCAGCCTGAGCCCTCTACATCATCTTAAAAACTGGGTACAACAAACAAGGCAGAGTTCCTTTCTCACTGTGTAGAGCTAACAATGCAGTGACTCAAACTGTGGAGTAGTCTCAAATAGTTTAACTCTGTCACCTATATATAACATTTTCCACATAGCAAAAATAGATTATAAAAATTTGTTCAAATTTATGTTCTTTGTAAATGTCAACAGAACTTTGGCAGTAAGAAAACAGTTATGATGATAGCTATTCATCTGAGAGAATTTCAAAAGCACTGGTACTTCAACCGAGTTTGAAAATACTCAACTGCTAAGTGGCAAATCACACGTAAAACCAGCAGGTCTTGCCTAATCTCTCTTCCCTCTCCTTTTTTCTGGCTAAGACCAAGCATTGGGGTTTTTAAAAATACTTTTAATTCCTAGAAAAAGCAACCTGTGTAAGAAAAACAGACTTTTAAGCTACACATTTTGCACTCTCACAGGAAACAAAGCACACATGTACTCACCTGCTTTTCTGCATGGTCTGCAGGCCAGCCTTGAACATGCTTTATGAGATTTTCATTGAAGTGTGCTGCTAGCGTAGGTGTTAATGAACAAGTGGGTCGTACTGATGTATTTTGCGGTGCAGGTGTTGAATTTGATGCACTAGTGCTAGAGGTATGATTTGGACCTGGTGATGGACTTCTTTGACTACTAGAAGAAAGAATAAAAAAAACAAGTGAGCATTTAAAAAAACATATGTAAATCTATAGAGAAATAAACACTTACAATTCATTGCTTCCAGCCACAAAAATACATAAAGCATCTAAACAACTAAATACTTCTGGTAGACCAAACCTGTGCCACTTTTCCACAAACCTCCTACTTGTATGGGAACTGTTTGAGTTCTACAGTATAACAGGGGGTTTTTGTTGGTTGGTTGGTTGGTGGGTTTTTGTGTTTTTTTGTTGTTGGTTTTTCGTTTGTTTGTTTGTTTTGTTTTTTTGACTTTGATAGCTGTTCAGATGTAAGCTGTGTCTACATTTTAGTGTTGGATAGAGAATGTATATATGTGTATGTTCTTCCTTCAAACAACTGCAAACATAAGATTTACAATAATAATGTATCAGATGGAGTCAAGCAGGTTAATTCAATAGATTAATCAGCAAGTGTCACAATAACCATTAATAACAAAGCCTGATGTCCTGATCTAAAAATATAGCCATATGGGCTTTGAGGAGTATAACCATCTCTAAGTCATGATGCTCCTCATGCATGGGAGCAGCCTTCTTAAGAGTTCCTTAAGAATTCCATCTCTTTATACAAATCTATTCCTGCTGCAATGACTAAAAAACGTGGGTACCGCTTAGGTAAATCTTTGGTAAACTGATATGACTGACTAATCCACAAGGACTCTTGTATTCCCAATTTGCAAATACCCATCCTCCACCTTACACTTGGGTGGTAAGCTCTCTAGATAAAGTAGGGGTTTTTTTGTTTCACTTGAATCAATTCTCCCAATAAAGCTATCATGTACAACCTGAACACCTAACATTAAGCCCAACAAGCTACAGAAGTTCCCCTAAAACGTAAAAATCACTGATACTTAAATTTGCTTTCCGTGTGTCCAGAAGCCCAGGTATCAGGGCCAGCATGAATACCCCACTCTGATATCGTATGGATCTAACCACATCTGACACAACTGCCAGAGTGCAGCTACACAGTTCTGCTAAGTGTAAGAGTTCATCGCTGTTTTTCAACTTCTGTATTATCAACAATAAACAACTCCACTGTGACTTTCACCAGCATCAAAACTGCTATTTGGTATATCACTGTTATCAAATGAAGGATCAGAATGTGGGAGTTTGTCTCCTCCTTGCAAGCACTGCTATCCAGGCGATCTGATCTTCTAGGAAACCAGAACTTGCGCTGGGAGGCATATATAACCCATGAAGCTGACGTTTCAGCACATGCCCTTTTCTACTCCCCCATTCCTTGCAAAAACAAGGCATCTACACTCTCACTTCCCTTTTCCCTTTCCAGCATTTGTTCAATCACTCCCATCCCCCCCCCGCCCCCCCGCCCCGGGGTTCTGTTGTTCTATTTTGCCAAGAGGAGGTGGAAGCAGCACTAGTTATCCATGCGAACATGTACAAGGACAGGTCAGGATGAAAACTCTCTGTTCTATCCTCTCCACCCTTGTAAGGGAAGACAAAGGAAGCAGTA